TATTTGTTTTTCTTCAGTTCTTCTGGATTTTCATGACTTGTGGAGAGCATCGTTACCGGCCTATATGCGTTCCTCTTACTGACCACAATGGTTGGCATGGTAACCACGTTTCTCGGCCTCAGTGCCAGGGTTCTGGTGACTGCTGGCGCCATGGCGACGCAGGCTAACTGAGGGGAACGGGGAGTAAAGAGGTGATGTGTTTGTAGAGAAGTTTGAGGAACAATATTATTACAGGCAGACTGGGAACTCATGGTGAGAGAGGAGTTTGCTTGAGTGCAGTGTGTAGTTCAGCATGCCATCCAATAATATCCCTACAGTTGGAAAACATACTTCAGTCACATCGATGACAAGAGAAGGAGAGACTTAGGAGAGAAAGAACAAGAGACATTTCTGTTGCAACAAGCTTATGGTGATATTAAGCCCATCATGTGAGTCATACAGGCCTACTGATTCACATACTGTGTGATACTGTCCCCTGCCATAACAGTTTCAGTTCTGCTGTTTTCCCATTACAGAGTTACCCTGCATGAGCCCAGCAAACTGACAAATATGAATGAGACAAATATATAAAAGATCTAAAATGACCCAGTGCTATTAAGAGTGGTAGAGCTTGTCATACACTGCCCCCTAGTGGCCAAACACTTATATAAACACTTCAAAAGGCTCAGCTTTTGCAGCTCTCCTGTCTGTAAACCATATAGAGTATGACCCCCTTAAGAACAATGTGCATTAACTTTGAAATTGTTACAGATGTAAGTTCAGTCTGTGCAGGTAATGCTGCATCAGCCAAAGAGAGAGAAACATTTTTTTTGATAATTTAGTCGTCATAGCACAAAAAGTAAAAATATACCCCACTACTGGTGTAAAATGGCCCCCTAACTAGGGCAAGAAGCCTTCAGGGTTTTCTGTGCCAATTCTCTGGGTCAAATCTTTACAAATTTTATTGTTTCACCCCATAATAAGAACAATATTTTTTACAAGAAATCTTAAAACAATGTCTACAAATCCCTTAACAAATAGACACAAAAACTTCATCATATTCATCATAATACAATGTTACAGATTACTATTTTCCAGAAAAATGCTATTAGACCATTTAATCTCAAATCTTTTAGTTTTGAGATTAATCTCACAAATGTAGATATTCAGATGCAATGGCATTAAGAAGCGCTTATAGCCATTCAGCAGATGTATTGAGATGAGATTTTGTGGCTTCTATGGTCAAGAGAAAAAAATGTAAAGGTGTGGGATCATCTTGACTTCAATCTGTTTATTTTATTTAGACTCCCATTACTTTTGAATGGCCATTTATAGAAAAGTCACGCAGAGTATGGTATCTACCAGCAAGTGCTTGTCCTACCAGCAGGGCCATGCTATCCAGCCAAACCTTGACCCCTTGATACACACCCACCACCCTCATTCATCCCAAACTGACCCACAGCCTTCTCAGGTGCAGGCATCACCACTAGCATGTCAGCTCCTGTTTAAACAGAAGCAAAACATAACACGGCTGCACTCGTCATGCCCTGAAGTCTCAGTGCCCCAGAGTCTAGTGTGAGCCAAGCGAGCTGGAGAAAATGTAGTGAAGTGTTCTTTCCTGACGTTAGCAACATCTCAGTGTCGGAAGTCTAGTGTAAATGTTTGCTCCGTGAGCATTCTCCAGCCTCCATGCACTCTTTCCACTGCGTTCTCGAAAATAGACCACTTTTCCCCACCAAAACATATCTCTCCAAAAACAACTTTCAAAACAGTTTTATTTGATGTGTAATTCCATCTCAGGTCGACACAAGAGCACATTGAGCTTACACACTCTGGCATTTTGCGTTGACACGCCATGTCTTTTTGCGCAATTCTGAAGCGGTTTAGAAACATGTAACAAATAAAGCAACAATGTAATATAGAAACCTTTTCTACTTCAGAATAAAAAAATAAAAAAGGAAACTGTGAAATACATTTTAAAATAGAACACACTGTGAGAACTCACAATTATCCTTTATTTTTTACTCTGAGGTAAACAGGTTTCCAATAATGGAAGCATGTACATTTATGTATGTGCACATTGACAATTCATTATTGGCTTTTTTATTTAGCAAAATTTTGGTATGCACTGTATCTGTACCCCATCCCAAAAACCTTTACAACAAAACTTTGCACCAAAGTACATTCAACAGGCACCTCTCAGGAAAGCATAGCAAAAGTGCTCGTGAAAAATCTACTGCCATTCAATACAGTGCAATATAAGTAAATACACAGCTGCTACAGTGATACAGCATGATCTCTGATTGATGTAAACGCTTCATACATACTCTCAAACATTCTGTGGTCCAAATATATGAACAAAAGAAAAGCAACCACTGTTTGGAACTAATTCCAAACAGGTTTTCCTAACGGTCTGACAATAAGGTCACCCTGCCTCCCAACTGTTCTGATTGGTCAGCCAACGTTCTGATTGGCTTGTTCAAAAAAGTGATTTCTGTCTGGTAGTAGACTTTTTTTTTTTTAAACACAGCAGCTTTAAATTCAGTGCATTACTATTATTATTTTTTGCTAAATGTGAACAACACGCTACATGTGCTATGTGAACATAATAGCAACTGCGTATTGCAAAACACAGAGACTGTTACATACTGAGAATAAGACAATTACATAAAGCAATAGTGTTGGAGATGAGCAGTGTCTGTAGCTGAAGCAAGTTCTCCATGTCTGCTCACATAGTTGAGTTTAAAAAAAAAAAAGGAGAGTCCCTTGCCTATTAGTTAACATAAACAAAGCATGCACCATTTAATGTTTTAGACTGCTCTCAGCACGTCTATGTCCATAAAGTGACTCCAAACAACACACAATATATACATTATGTAATTTTTCACCATGCTACACATCTAAAATACAAACTCTTGCAGTGGCTAGCCAGAGAAGAGCTGTTGAACTTCAGGTGTCAGCACAAACACGAAGCCCTCTTACACAGAGCAGTGTCCTCTTACCAGCCCACATAGCTTTACTTACAGTCAACATGATTTACTGTGACTCTCCCTCCAGGTATTCAGCCCACTTCAAGTTCTCACAGGTTATTGTAGATGGGATCATTTCAAGTCATTTTTTAGTCTGGGTGTCCGACTATTTGAATTTACGACACTTATTATAAACTGTTTTCTGCAGTGGTTGTGTATATCAACCAGCGCTAACATGGTAGACTTGTGACAAGTCTGTTGTCAGATGTCCTACACCAGGGGTGCCCAACCCTGCTCCTGGCGATCGACTGTCCTGCAAAGTTTACAAAATTGGTCACTGAAGCGGTGCTTTTTCCAAAGGTACACCTTATTTACCCCTAAAAGGAACACATTAGTACTTCAAGTGTGCAAATTAGTACCTAAATGTACACATTAGCACCTTTTTAAAGGGTACCGCCCCAGTGACAACTTTTGCACCTTTTTTTCTGAAAGTGTATGATCTACTCATATGAATGCACATAGTATTCTCAACTGGTGCTAGAACATGTATAATATTAGCATTCAACTGATGCACCAAACTGGGTTTGACAGACTTAATGAATAACGTCTTGCATTGCAGTGTTACAAATAGAGACATGTTGACATGGATGTGATTACTTTTATTGTAAGACTATAGCGCCACCAAGTGGTCTGGAAAATTTAGCAATTTTTTACTCAAACAATATTATCATGAATAACTTAAATGTTTTATCACACTCCAAGACTTGCATCTATAAATATTACATTTAAACGTTAGACAAAATCCATAACAGTCAAGTTATGAAACAAACCAGGTAAAACGTTCTGTTTTTCCAGGTAAAAAATGATGTTGCATTATGAGAGAAGGTCAAACGCAAGCCTTTTTCAAACTGGTAATAATAATAATAATAATAATAATAATAAAATGCTCCAAATACCTTTCTGCAGCCTCAAATGCAACAAGGCACTCTCAATTTCTTAATCAGAAAGACAGGGAACTGTGCACGCATAGCAAAAGAACTCAATTAAATTTGAAAGTGTATCTTTAAACATATCTTTTCTTTCCTAAAAACATCTCCCAAAAATACAGAAACACAGCACAGTGCAGTCTAACTGGACTTCTGTGCCATTTAATCTCACTAGTCTAGTTCAGTTTAAGTGTGCTTTAAAACCTCAGAAGACTCTCCTCTCACTATTGTCTCATAGTCCTATTTTCACTTCAGCAGAAGCTGTTCAAACAGTATTTATGACAGTTTTATGTAAAAACAAAACAAAAAAAAACTAACTGTAAATCTGTGTTCTCTGTGTACTAGTGTAAGCAGACCACACTTACACTTGAATTCATATTATAACCATATGCATTTAAAGTTACACTTGAATTATAAGTCAGATTAATTAATTGAATCAGTACTACAGAGAAGACAGGTTGGATCTGATATCATGCTGTCAGTGATAGGTGAATAATGCAATGGAGGTGAAAAGGCATTAAAGCAATTAAATGTTAAAAAAGTAAGACAAAAAGATATATGAAACATGAAGATGCACATGGATTTGAGTCAAAAATAAAGAAAATAATTGTATACAACTTAAAGATCAGTTCATTTTATTTGACTTTGTAACCACTTGTATGTAAATAGTATATTTACATAGGTAGTATGAACAATAAAATAAAATTACTATTTTACTCCATACTGGTTTTCAATAACATTTTTGCACATATCACTCTCATTTTCACCCATTATTCAGTCTACAATTTAACTAGCGTAACAGTATTTAGGTTTTGAACCTTCTAAAATACAGGATAGTCAAGAAAATACCACGAAAGACACAATGTACAGGCCTTAAAGGGGGAAAACAATAAATCACATCCATTTAAATTAGCTTAAGCAGTAAATTAGTTTCCAAGGGCAATTACATCATGTCTTTACTCCCTTCCATCTGTGGTCACTTATATGTGCACATGTACATCTTTTAGAAATTAATCTGAGAAAAAAAAATCATAAAATAATAAAAAATATTCGCAAAACAAAACACAATAAGCAAGGTAACTTTATACCTTTCTACAATATTCACACTTCGTCCCATCAAACACTTAAAAAAAATTCAAGTGTGCATTTCCTCAAAATATCTCTGTGTGCAAATACAGACATTACATGCATCTTCCTGAGTCTAGATCGACAAGCCAAAAATGGGAAAAAATAAAGCTCTCAATAATTATAGTGCAATTACACGTCAGCATAAAATACTTGCTCTTTAAAAAAAAAAAAAACACACACACACACAAACTTTTTCTATCATACGGTACAGTAATACTAATTCATGAAAATATACAAGGCCTAAATTTTGTTACTGTAATTTAAGGGTCCCCTAGGTAAGTTACGGACAGTTCACCCAAAAATAACAATTCTGTCATCATTTACTTACTCATGTGCTTATAAACATTTATGACTTTTTTCTATTGTGTGGAACAGAGTAGCGTGAACATTCTGCTAAACATCTAATTTTGTGTAAATCATACAGGTTAGGAACAACATGAGGGTGAACAAATAATGACTGAATTTTCATTTTTGGGTGAACTATCCTTTTAAGGGACACAATGTGAAATAGGCACCCAAACTCTGTCTGAGACACAGCACAGAAACAGTGTTTTGAGATTAGACATGCTGGTCACTCGCTATGACATGTTTAGGGTTAAGATGATGTATTCCCTGCCTTATGTGCCCTGTGAAACTATGCTACCAGACTCACGCTACCAGTGAGCATTTGAGTCTCATGCTGATCGACACATTCCAGTTCGTGTAGGTGCTCTGCTATGAGAACTGCTGCTGCCGCTCTCTCCATGTAAGGAGGAAGGATCATCCTGGTCACATGATTGTATGGCTGAGCCGTACCCTGATTCTGTCTGCACTGACCTCCATCTTTTCCCTTTCAGGTACCCAGCAGAACTCTTTCACACATACAAACATTCACAAACACACTTTATCTATTTTTAACCCACGCTAGCTAACAGAGATGCCCACTGCACAGAAATGTATTGCTAGTGTACAATGCAAATACTAGCATTGACGAACTGTTAAATATTAATATAGCTATATTATGTCAATTTCATCCCTTGAGCTTACATTGGACAAGAGAATTTGATTACTAAGGCCACAATGTAAATGTGATGCTGAAATCAATCCAAGATAAAAGCTAAATAAAAAAACACATCAAAAACTGAATTGGTCTCAGCCACTATCTTCAAGTCTGTACAAAAGCTCCTGCCCTGAATAAAGCTCAAGTGCTGAAGAGATACGTCCCAATACTACTTCAGACTTTTGCTGTGTGACAAAAGCCGCAGTGCTTGGTAGCTTGAATGTGTATGTACAAGCATAATATCAGCTTCTTTGGTTATTGAATAAACATGAATGTGATATCAACATCTTCTGAGCGACATTCAAGAATCTCATGAAGATTGTGAACTGAAAAAAAATAAATAAATAAAAATACAACAGAATAAAACTGGATGCGTAGTGGAATGATGGTGACAGGTGATGTGATGTGCAAAGACAGGAGATGTCCTCAGATCACAGGAAATGACATCACTGCCAGGGTGTGAGATTAGGAGAATAATAAAGTTTTCATTTTCCACGAATACATTTTTGCATCTTACAGATGAAGTGCGCAATTTCTGTGACACAAGGATACTTCCACCCCAAACTCATGCTATTGGTTGCACTGATGTTATGTCCAGCTCAACAAGGCCGCTCAAACAAACAGTCCGTTTTGTGCCAGGAATGACACACCCCACCTTTAAGAGGGTCTTTTTGAGAATACATGAACAAATATTCTTTCAAAATTTATCTCTGAATTTACAGAGCCTCGAACATGACAAATAAAAGATATGATGGCCATGAATTAAGAATTCGTTTACACGACTTCATTGTTCGTTCCTTCCTTTTAATTTAGTTAAACTGTGGGCATTATTTACCTAAACAAGGGAACAAATGTTTAATTTGTGGCCCTGATTTCTATTTTTTTCTGTATGTCATGTGTGGGGCTCCATAGTGCATTACTTTTGTAATGTTATTAATAAGTAAACGTCTCAATTCATTCATTATACAACAGTCTTATTTGAACAAAGCATAGTTAGTTCTTTGTTCTATATATACACACATAAGTCTCACTCTGAAGCTTCTTAACACATATTAATGAACCTGAAAAACTTCAAAAGCTTCAGGATCTTTTCCATTCCTTACACGGAAGGTCTAGTTTTGAATTTTAGCTGCCTGCTCCTTCTCGACCTTCTCCTTGGCTTTCTCCTTCTCCACCAGCTTCTCCTCCTTCTGCAGCATCACCATGATCTCTGCCACCTGGTTGGTGGAGATATCGATGTCCTCCTTATCGATCAGCTCTACCACCTAACACACAAACACACACAGACCAGATAAATGTCAACGTCAAACTATAATGCTGAAATCAATGAGGGACCAAAGAAGTCCCATCTTGTTACCTTAAAGACATCATCAATGTCTATCTTGCCATCTTTGTTTTCGTCGAGTGCGTCTGCGATGCTGAGCAGCTTGTGTTCAGGGATGTTCTGGATCTGCTTCATGACTCCAATGAGCTCATTGATGCTTATCAGATTCTCCCTGTAGGACAGGAACAGACTGCATACAGGGAACGGTTACTTGATAACACAAGGGGTAAGATGGTGGAGGACGAGTAAATTCACGGATCAACCAATCGCATGCCAAGACAGCCGTGCAGGGTTCCCAGAATAGAGGTTTTGGAGTCATTAATGAGAAAATGATTCACTAATCTTGAAGAATTTTTGACTAAATCATACAAGCCTTAACTATAGTTTCACAGAAGACAAAAATAAAGGCCTTAAAATAAGTGATCCATCTTATACTTGCAGCACTGAGAATAAGAGTGAACAAGATTTCACAGCACAATCCTAATCACACAATTGATTATCCACAATAACCGGCATTAATTAAAGAAATACTAGTAAAGGAAATGACAAGCAAGACTACTGATTTGATTAAAATAAAAAAAATAAAATAAATTTTAAAAAACACACTTCAGACCTCCCTCAGACCTACTTGGTTGAAAAAATATGGTGTTTAGTCCATATTTTTAAGTTAATGCTTTTGATGAGAAAACAAAACGAAAGGCGAGAGGTCTTTCCTGTCCTCACCTTGGCAAGTCACTATGTTTCTCAAAGAACAATCTAAAAAAACAACAAAAAATTATTTTTAATTGGACTGGGAACCGTTCTCGTTTACAACCTGTAAGATTATTCTTCCACCACCATTTTACTGTGCCGATTGCAACATCCCATCATGCATTACTGATGACACACAAACACTCACACACAGAAACCACCACCACCATTTAAGCCAATTCCATACGAACAGAAAAACTCATGCAAATCAAGATCTCTTACCCAATTGGTGGTGTGGTCCCGCTGTCCATCTGTCCGTCTAGCACCATCTTGTCCTTCTCCAGCTCGTTGATGATCTTATCCACTCTGCCAATCATGCGGTTGACCCGCTTCGACAGACGCTGACTTGCTTTAGACTCCTCCACCACTTTCTCCTGTCCTGATTTGGACAGCTCTCGCTTGATCTCCTCCAGGTCCTGTAGAGAGACATAGTGGATATCACGTTTAAATGTTTATGACAAAAAATGAAAATGGACCATTGGTTTATGGTACACACCTCGCTGTACTCCTGCACATCATCCTTCAGGTCCTCCAGCTCCTCTTTCTCTTTGGTGAGGAGATTCTTCTGCTCCTTCAGTTTGGTGCAGGCGTCACTCAGCATGTCAATCTCCTCCTTAGTGATCTCCTCTCCCTGAAAAATGACACACACACAGTGTCCATCAACACTCTCCAGGTAACACACACACACATACATGCACAGCAGTGTTGGGGAACCTTTGAATCAGTGGTGAATTTAACATTTTGGTGCGGGTTAGATGCTAGCTCTGGAAATGGATCAAAATCTATAACAAATTTAATGAGGAAATATATATAAAATGGATGGAAATTCCATGTAACTTATTTAGTCAGCTAAAGTTAGTATTCCAAATAAAATCACTAAATAGCATCATCTATTCCAAAGTCTTGTCTGCTAGTTCACTATAGGGATGACTCCGCTACAGTAACCAATGTTCAAGCTACTCATGATTTAAAGTAGTTAAACTACAGTAAAGCTAACGTTGTCTAAGTTAAGAAAAAGCAACTTATTACACTATATATAAATACATATCTTAATACATAATTTGATTAACTATTTGTCACTAAAATTGTGAGAATTTCAATTAGACTGCCTAACACTGGAAAAAATTACGGTAAAAGCAAATCATACTCTAATTTATATAACTGATTTGAATATGTAACAATGATAATCAGCTGCACTGAAATGACTCAAAAGGCACATAATGAATCAGTGATTTTTTCCCCCTTCTTTTTATAATGAACTGCCTGCACAAATTGATTCGCTAAAATGAATCAGACCTCTCAGTACTAGAGATATATTCTAGCTAGGTGCATTTGATTATTGTCTCAGCTTGCTCTGTTGCAAGACAACACAATATAACGAAATCAGCGATGTAATGCTTTGTCAATCTACATCTTACTGTCCTTTAACTTTTGAACGGTTGTGTAACTTTTTGTAAAAGTGACACTAGTTTGAGAACAGTTGAACTACCGTCACACTTTCGAAAAGAGTATTAGTTACTCCCCAACTCTGATGCGGAGAGGTTGTTCTTTTATAAGAGGATTAGTCAGAGGAAAGGAAGGTCTTCCCATACAAAAAAAGGTGATTACAGAAAGGTCACTAAAACCGACTGAAAAGCATTGTAAGGCTAATTCAGTAGGTCTCTGAGCAAATATTTATTCAGCTTTCAGATGACCCTTATGACTGGTTTTGTGGTCCAGGGTCACAAATGATTTCAGCTAAAAAAAGTTAAATTTATACTACAAAACTATTTTATGCATCAAGTATATCAACACATTCAACAGCATTGGATGTTTCAGATTTTCCTAATTCAAGCAGAATGGGGCTATACTTTCACGTGACTTGCCTTAAAAGGGTTATAAAAACACTTTATAATAGCTTTCATTACTCATTAACAAACACTATTTTATAACGCTTGACACATTATCAGTAATGTACACTACTGTTTCAAAAGTTTGGGGTCAGTAAGATTTTTTTAATTGTTTTTGAAAGAAGCCTCTTATGCTCATCAAGGTTGCCTTTATTTGATCAAAACAGTAAAAATAGTAATATTTTTACAATTTACAATTAACTTTTTTTCTACTTTGATATACTTTGAAATGTAATTTATTCCTCATTCTAATATGCCAATTTGGGTGCTCAAGAAACATTTCTTATTATTATCAATGTCGAAAACAGTTGTGCTGCTTAATATTTTCGCAGAAATCATGACACCTTTTTTTTCAGGATTCTTTAATGAATAGAAAGTTCAAAAGAACAGCATTTTTTTAACATTGTAAATGACTTTGTCAATTTTGATTAATTTAATGCATTATTGCTGAATAGAAGTATTCATTTCTTTATAAAACGAAAAAAAAACAACACAAAAAAAAATAATAATAACTTGCTGACCCCAAATTTTCAACCATATTGCACATTTAAGTTCCTCACAAATGTCAGGAAAGTTTTCATATAAATATTTTTGTATTTGATTTTATTTCTTGTTAATGTTTAATAAAAGTAATTTTATACATATTCAGAGTTCATTTAGATTTAAGAGAGAAAACTTTCTGTTCACCTCTTGTTTTGTGTGTGTGTGTGTGTGTGTGTGTGACTATCTTACCTTAATACCCTCCAGCACCGGTGCAGTATCTCGTAGTGTTTCTAAATGGATGGCCACGTCTACACTGGAGAGAGCATGTTCTGTATCCACACGTCGTTCTGCTTCCATCTCCACCACCTCGGCCTCCTGGAAACACATATAAAACCTTCCATGAACATTTAAACTATACTACAGGTATGATGCTGGAATCACTGTCAGACTGAAAGAGACTAATGACCCGTGCAGCCTGTTCCTTTTCTTTCTCTGCAGCATCAGACAGTCTCTCCAGCTCCCGCTCTCTGTTTTCCTGTCGGATAGCTGCCTCTTCCTGTAGCGTGGCCTCCAGCTTGGTTTTGTTATCCACTTTAGAAAAGTCCAGCTCTGCCACCTTCATCTGTGCCTCTTTAGTCTGTGAATGCACAAATGAACAACACACTGTCATTACACAAATCTGAAGCACTTGCTACATGTATAAAACTACATTTTTTGGTGAAACTAACCTACATTTATTGCAAATATTATATATATTGTGCAGTACATACCACAATCTCTGGCAGGTTCTGTAGTGTGGTTGTAAGCTGGTCTGTAGGGGACAGCGTGTCTGGCAGGAACATGGCTCGGGACAGCAGCAGCAGAGATGTGGGGATGTGCTGATTGAGGTGCAGCTCCAACCACTGACATGATCAGAAATGTGAAATACACGATGAGAAGATGCATTACTAGGAAGTAGGGATGTAACGATTAACCGAAAGCCAATCGAAAATCGATTCAAATATGTGACGATTCAAATCGGTTGAGACGCCAAATAAATCGCGATACAATTGGAGTAGGAGTTTATATGAATGCATCTCTGAGGGGAAATGACAATCTTTAGAAAAGTTTACGTGGTATTTTCTTTTCATCTTGCCTCTGAACAATGCATATTAAAGTAGCGTTCATAAGCGCAGCTCTGCTTTGTTTACAGCGGTAACCAAGGAAACACTGTATCATTGCTGTTCATAAGCACCACCTGCTGTCAGAGAGTGAATCTCGTCTCATTCAGCTCGTCTGCTGTTTCGTTCAGATGTTTTATGTAGTATAGTTTCACAAAACTGAAGTCAGACCATTCTGATTTTGTGCAATTATACAGTCTAATTTAGATTAAAATCTACTCATGCTGCATGTATGCTGCATCTTTGTTTGGATCATGATTCAAATCCAGTGGTTGCCTCTAATTTTAAATGGAAAGAGCACAGACAAAGCCTTAGTTTGTTCATATTAAGAGATTTCTTTTATTTGTGTAACTTACTTGTTTGATTTGGGGTTTGTTTTAAAATTTCAATTTAGTTTTCATTATCAAGCTCAATTTGTTCTGACACAGTTTAACTCCGACTGTCATATTTTATTACCATTTTCTAAACTATAGCGAATAAACTGTGATAATGTGAGGCAATAGCCTAATAAAACGACACCTTTTCATTTACTGTACTGTATAATGTCTTCAATCTCATTTTGTAAAAAAAAAAAAAAATCGTGAGAAAATCGAATCGTGAAATCAAAATCGTGAATCGAATCGTGAGTTGAGTGAATCGTTACATCCCTACTAGGAAGTAATGATTGTAGAGGAAAGTGCAGCATGTGTTACCTGTTTAAGCTGTTCTCTCAGTCTCTCCTCGGTCACACCCAGAGCTCTCATCCCTCTCACACGACATGCTGACTGCAGCTCGGTCACATTAAGACTGTCCACTCCTTCTTCTGCTATCAGCTGTCAATCACACATACACATGCAAAGAAATCAGCTAGCTGATATAGAAATTGTGGCCGATACAATTCATGATAATTGTTTTAATTTGCTCTGAATTCTTATACACTAAATACATAAGACATAATAACTACTTTTATGGTCTTTTATGGTGTTTCTGTTTCCTTTTTGAAGTTTAACAGCCGTGGTCACTATGAAAAATGTTATGTTGAAAAAATATAAGTATATACAATAGCATTCAAAACATTTTAATTTGCTCTGAATTCTTATACACCAAATACATAAGACATAATAACTACTTTTATGGTCTTTTATGGTGTTTCTGTTTCTTTTTGAAGTTTAACAGCCGTGGTCACTATGAAAAATGTTATGTTGAAAAAATATAAGTATATACAATAGCATTCAAAACACTTTAATGAAAAGTGACAGTAAAGACGTTTATAATGTCACAAAAGATTTCTATTTCAATTAAATGCTATTCTTTAGAACTTTCTATCTTAAAAAAAACGTGTCACACAAAAACATTAAGCACAACTGTTTTCAATACTGATAATGTAAACTGTTTCTTGAGCAGCAAATCAGCATATAAGAATGATTTCTGAAGGATCATGTGACACTGAAGACTGGAGTAATGATTCAGTAAAAATTCTGCTTTGTCATCACAGTAATTAACAACATTTTAATATATTAAATACATATAATATACATGTATTTTTTTATATATAACATATAATATATTAAAATAGATATTTTCAAATGTATTTTAGATATTTAAAATTATTAACCTGTAAAAAATGACATACAACTGTTATAAATAAAACAATGCAAAGGTTCTTGAGTCTTCTTGACAACCCATCTTCAGCTGAGTAAGGACAGGTTCTAACCTTGTCGTCTGCACGGATGGCTCGGAGTTTCATGATGAGCTGAAAGCGCAAGAAATTGTTGGTGCCGATGGACTGCAGCTCCAGCAGTTTGCACAGTGCCACCAGCTGCGGTCGTGTCAGATTATCCAAGGTCAGTTCATCCTCAAACAACTTAGAGAAGCGTATGATCTGCTCATTACTGGGTCTCTCTCCAGAGTCTCGGATCTGAGAGAGAACAGGAAGAGAGAGAGAGAGAGAGAGAGTTCTCGTTCAAAAAAAGCTCTCATTCATGGTGCTTAAGAGTAACGTCTCATCTAAGAGCATTTCATAAGCATCACCACATGTGGGCAATACAGAGCTGTGTTTTGAATCACTTGGAGCAGCAGTACAGTTGTTTTTTCAGGATGAGTTCTGAGCATGTGACTATGATCTACCTTCTGAAAGAAAGTGGAGAACTCCTCGGTCACGTTGCCTTTGGCTGCTTTGTTTCTTAGTGCAATCTCCTCGATTGTGTCCTGCAAGAACTTGGCCATCTCTAACTTCACTCTCAGCTCCTTCTTTAGTCTTTCCTCCTGCAAAACACAAAGACAGTGTGTGTGAGAGAGATATATGATATGAGGTCAAATAGGTTTGGTATAAGTATTGTATAAGTAGAGGCATAAGAGGTGTGACTAGGACAGAAATACGATTAAGGTCTTTATAGATTAAAACTCGAGAGGTCGGCGTACCTTTTTGGACTGTGTCTCAAAGGTGGACGGCAACATATTAGGGAAAAGTTTCAGTGCAACAGGAAGCAGAAACTCCATAAATGGAACGATGATAAACACCAGAAAGGGCAGAAGCCGGAAGACATCTGCACACGTCCTCAGGAACTGCAATTAACATGACATAGGCAGTGATGTCAGCAGATTGCTGCTTTGGTGATGAAATGCAATTATTGATCAGTGGTGGAAAATCTAATCTCTAGAAATAAAAATGAAGTAAAACCCCTGAAATCCCTGTCACGAGGCACTAAGAACTGATTCTACAGGGTGATCTGCTCTGTCAGGACTACATAAGGGAGTAAAATTAGAGCTCAAAGCTCAAACTCACAGAGTGAAGAGTTCTCTCTAAAGCTGCCGATTTTCCTCTCTACTGTTTGAGTGAATCTTACAAAGCCTGTCGAGAACCTCATGTCCTGCTCCTATTTCACCCCAAAATCAAGCGGAAGAAGCTTATTTAGCTTAAAAAGCCATTAAGATTTTCTACATTGCTACATTATTTTCATGAGAATTAAGGACATTCAGTGTCATCTCCATCAATTCCCATTAATGTAATGTAAAACCAAAAGCAAAAAAAAAAAAAAAAAAAAAAATTAGTCATACAAAAGTTAAATTATGAAGCACTTGTACATCATGTTTGTTGAAATGCCTTAAATGTATGATTTTTAAAATAATATAATTATTTACAATACTTCTTTTTTTACATACATGAGAATGAGAATCACCAGAATAATAATAATATGAATTACAAAAAAAATTGATGGTCCTAAAAAATATTAATGCTAACTTCCTTTTTTTTTTTTTGTGAAACATAACCCGGATGCATTTATGCATGATTCACTCATCCTGCAAAGTAAAAAAAATTAAATAATTTGAAAGTTAAAAGATATCAGGTAAAGTGCAATAAAACAAAACAAGATAAAATAAATGGATAAATAAAAAAATAAATAAAAACAAAACAAGAAATAAAATTGATTTGAAATGGGAGTGAGCAGATAACACCAGAGACAAGTCAAGATATCAGTGCATCCACTCCCCATGACAATATCTAATATATAGTTGATGAAACATGATCAATTCAGAAAATGAGAGGTTAGATAACAAAGGAGCTTCAGCTTTTTAAGAGGGGTCCCTGCTCCCCTTATTCCACCTGTGTGTCAGCGGTCCTATAGGGAAGAATTTAAACCAGGCAGGCCTGAAAAGAGCCTTTGTGTTTGGCCCATTGACATGTATATCAGCACAGGCAGAGAGAGAGAGAGATAGAGCGCAAGGGGGAGAGAGGAGGAAAACAGGGAGGCCTGGAGTGTGAAATATTCAGGGACGAGTGAGTGGGATGGAGAGTGAAGGCATTCCAAAGGAAGTGGCTGGGAGAGAGCAGGACAGAGGGTTTGGGAAGGGGGTTGATGACTGACATCAAAAGCTAAAGGAACCCACGCTGTGCAAGGCCAGTTGTGAATAGGCAGGATTAAGAATGAAGCAGGTCAGAAGAATAGCGAGAGTGAGGTGCAACAGATGCTAGCTGAGGCAGAGGCATTAGCATAGCTCGCAATGCTAATGTTTACAGAGCTCACAACATAAAGAAAACCTCAGTAAGCTCTTGATAACAACTAACCATGACTACCCAAACATGAGTATTATAAAAGCTGTAGATGTTTTTGAACCAAATGCTGTATAAAAAAATAAAAAAAACTTCCAAGAAAATCTTACAAGGCTTTAGGAAATAAATAAATGAAGTATAAGCAATAATAGTGACACTTGCCTTAGTAAACCATTAATGTTTACAATGATTGCTTGCAGCAAATGTTTTCAAAATGTTTGCCAGGACACCAAATTTTAAGGGGGTGTTTCTATCTCTGTGGCTTCATGTAACTGTCACCAGAGTAAAACCAAACATCCCTTCTCAGTACTATTGCCATGACTGTGGAGAAATGATAGGAGAAATGTAGTGGATAACGGTGGCATTAATATCCCAGCAACCCAAGGACGGACGGTTCATTCTGAGAGAGTGACAGAGTGACACAAAGCCTGAGCAATTTCCAGTATGTACTGACTTAGAACGCAATGGAGGCCTCCAACGGTTACAGATTATATGCGTCACTTAAAGGCAGAGTAAGTGATTTCTGGTAGCCAATGTTGATATTTGAAATCACCAAAACAAACACGCCCCTACCCCAAAAGGGTCTTGCCCCTATTTTGATAGCTCCGCCCCACATATACGTACGCAACCCAGGCAACGATTAGTTCTGTGAAACAAAGCAAAACCAATGTTACACCGTGTCTACGGACGTGAGTGGCGCGGCGCAACAAATCCCGACAGAAAACTGCTGCCGGGTTCTATTTATGACGTGCTGACACCGATTTCAAATGGTTTTCAACGGTCGTTTGACCTCTTTCTCGCGTCCAGTGTAGGCAGACTTTAGTTGTTGTAGACACGGTGTTACTCACCTATTGAGAAGAAACAAAGCAACCTCGGCGTCCGATCGCAGGCCTCCGCTCCTTGAGTTCTCTCCAGCACTGGAAAGCTGATCCAATATTTTACACGGGTCCTACTTCTTGCCTTATCGTTCCGCAGACGTTTTCCTCTTTTGTTTTTTATCCGCCATCTCTATCTTTCTGTCGCTCGGCTCGGCTAATGTCCGTCCCATGCACTGAAAGCTCTCTCCTCCACATCACGAGTAGACACGCCCCTTATTGCTGATTGGCTACAAGTTTGTTTTGCTATTCGGCCCGAATCAGTTTTCTAAAGTGTTTTTGAAAAATCACATACCCTGCCTTTAAGTGTCACTTTACAACAGACTGAGTCATGCAACTGTCTGAGAATTTGAGGTTGGGAAGGCATTAGCACTATGCTAACAGAGACGATCATGCAATACAATGTATGATAGTTGCAATCTGCTGTGTGCTTGAAAACTCAAATCTAATACAGATGAGCAGGAACCTTGTTTTTACACTATCAAGTTTGGGGTCGGTAAGTTTTTGTAATGTTTTAAAGTCTCTTATTGCTCACCAAGGCTGCATTTATTGGAAAAATACAATAAATCTGTCATATAATGAAAAATTATTACAATTTAAAATAGCTGTGTTCTATTTCGATATATTTCAAATATATAATTTATTTCAAGTTTTTAATCCTAAAGGCCTCAGGAATCTCATTAGTCCCATGTGAGCTGGTTAAAGTGTCTTGGGTCTCCCCTAGCCTCCTGACTTACAGAGAAATCTCTAACGGCTGCTCCCTGAAGACTCAGCATGGCACTAATTTAAATCATTAAGCTACAGAAGAGATCCAGTCAGACTTTATAGGACTGGGATTAAACTACAAAAGAATGCTAACCACCCACCCCAAATCCTACTATACACGACTTAATTACATTACACTGGGTTAAATCCACAGTGCAATGACAGACGAACAATTTACATCACACCAGGAACAACTACATAAGCACTCACAGGTCAACTGACAAGCCCAGAGTGGTACATTATGACATTTGCATTTTCTATTAAAAGTAAAGACCCAAGTTTTAACCCTTTTGTGTTTGTGGGAAGTTTCATCGCAAATACTAACATTTCGTAAATCAGCGAACACCACCTACTTGTAGAGTATTGCAATAAAGGACAAAGATATCTGATGTCTACTTTATTACTACCAAATCTCAATGCAAACATGTTGTCATTGACTCTTTTAAGGACAAGCTTATTAGGTGGTCTTAGCCTTGAGGCTTCACACTGACAACAATTTAACATGCAACAAATTTGAGCAGAGTTCAACTTTTGTATAAACATTGGTAGTTCTAATCTGACTAGCTGGCTGCTACGCAACTTTCAGGAGTCAAGGTACAGTTATTTATCATAAACTTATCAGAACAGAGGAATACTGATTGGGAACGTTCAATCCTATCAACTCAGGTCATCCAATGGCTATCCTTCAGACACTGTAGAACAGGGTTTTTCACACTCCTGATGCCAAGAATCCCAAATATGAGGATCCCTTTGACAAAGACCCCGTTCCTAAAACATAATCAGCTCTAGATAACAAAAATAGTAGCCTAAATAGAAAAATTGTAAGTGTGCTATTATAAATACCAAATATAAATGTCAAAAAAGTTTCTAATTATTATTATTATTTTTATTTTAATAATTTTATTATTTATTTATAAATTTGTACATGATTTTTTTCTTACTATATTTTATTTTAAATGTTATCCATTTCAGATTTTTTTTTCTCTTTCTTTATTGAACCATTCTTTTCTGTGAATTTATGCAACTGAAATGTTGAGCTCACTACCATTGACTAGTGTCAATCCTTTAAAAAGCCTTTGGAGTGTCGGCAGTATTTGATTGTGTGTTTACTAGGCCTGTCGATTTAATGCGTTAATGTAATTAGTTATAGGAAAAAAAAATTACACATAAAAAAACCGCAATTAACACAATAATGTCCGTTTATGCTCAATTTTGCCAATGAAAATATATCCTATTAAAGCCACAGCAGAACTGTTGTACGTCTCCAAACACACAATTTCGGAATGAATCCTAGTTTTAAACGAATCGGGTGAACCATTGATTCAATGGCCCATTCATAAAGAGAGCCATTTACCTCATTTCTGAATGAATCAGCCGTTTGAACGAATTGAATGAATGAATGGATGATTTATTTATTCATTGAGACAATGATTCATTAAAGGGGTGGTTGATCAGCTTTTTTTGAAGGCTTGAACGCGTTATTTTCACATATTTTACCTTTATTCTACACCGCTGTTTCCGTTCTCGTCAAAACGGTCTGTTGAGTTGAGGCTCCAGCGCGGATGAATCTAATGTGTGGCTGTCAGTCACCGCACTGGTGTGGATACTGCACTTTGTATTCACAAATTCTACATCTTGAAAGTATGACCCAAATAAGAGTTTTTACTGGAGAATGTCATCTGAACAAGTAAGTAACAAGTGCCACTTTTGTTCTGATCAACGGAGGAAAAAAGCATTACAATAAATTGCGCTATCAATGGTGATTAAATCTAACGATTGGTTAGCTCAAATCACATCAAACCGTGCCAATTCGACCTTTCTGGATTACAATCTGCCATTTATTCCAGCTGCTGTGAAAAAAGGCTATAAACGATCCGTCACCTGCAGGATCCTCACATGCGATATAGCATACTAGCCGAGACAACTTCTTTATGTTTACAGACGTGACGTAATGATGCAGCACCATGCTCGAATTTCCCACGAAAACCTACCCATACCACTCAAATTAGAAAACTTTATTACAAGCTTACCGTTGTGATTCGAGCTAAAGTAAGGCGATAGTTTTGAACACTGGCTGGTTATGTACTTGCTCAAAAATTGATTTTGGATAATTTTTGATCAAAAAAGTTACGGACTGCAGCTTTAATAAAAAACGAATTAAAGGGACAGTTCACACAAAAATGTAAAAAGAAAAAAAAAAATTCTAAAGCTACTTATATACACAATAATGGCTGTAAATTATCTTTTGGGGGTGATTTCTAAGCCAAATTGCCATTAATTTGCAATTATAGCATACTAGCCGAGACAACTTCTTTATGTTTACAGACGTGACGTAATGATGCAGCACCATGCTCGAATTTCCCACGAAAACCTACCCATACCACTCAAATTAGAAAACTTTATTACAAGCTAAACGTTGTGAATCGAGCTAAAGTAAGGCGATAGTTTTGAACACTGGCTGGTTATGTACTTGCTCAAAAATTGATTTTGGATAATTTTTAATCAAAAAAGTTACGGACTGAATCTTTTAAGTGACAAATATGCAAACAATTAAAAAAAGGGGGCAGGGGCAAAAACTTTTTCACACCACTGTAATTTGATTTATTAACCTCCACATCACGTAATTTATTAGATTAAAAATTGTAATCACTTGACAGCCCTAGTGTTTACCTGTCTCCTCTCGCGGCGTGACAGAATGTGTCCATTCAGCACCCTCCAGAGCATCCGAACGGTGATAGTCGTATCTATCCACAACAGGCGGAACCCATGATAGTAGTGCTTCACCTCATCAATCACACGTTGGCGTATTGTCCGTCGCACGGGTTCGGCATCTACCGTCGGGCTGTACACCGGTCCACCCTCCTCAAGCTTTTTATTCCGATCCTTCAGTGAGCGTAAAGAACGCTCTACCTTTGAATCATCATAGAGGGGGCCTGTAGTATGTACCCACCGGACCAGGGTGTTCTGTGGCCAGGCTAGCGTCCTGAGGTATGTGGAGTGGGTGTGAACGGGGTCATGTACTAAGATGGAACAGTACAGGCGAGGTGACCTGGACAAGCGGCGCTGAAGCGCTGATGAACTGTCAAGGTACAGGACAGATGATGCATGAGGCCAGGTGCTGCCTCCAAGAACACTGGGACTGCTGAAAAACAGTTTTTACAACCTTTAAATAAAGATCCAATTTGAAAGAATAAAAAAAAAAATGTTTTTGAAATACGTTTCCAAGGCTGCATTTATTTGATCAAAAATACAATAAAAACAGTAATACTGTGAACAACCATATTTATATTAATAGTAATATTGTTACAATTTAATAAAATTGTTTTCTATTGTGATATATTGTAAAATGTCAGTTATTCTTGTCATAGTAAAGCTGAATTTTCAGCAGTCATTAATCCAGTCAGAAATCATTCTAATATACTGGTTTGATGATCAAGTAACATTTCTTATTATTATCAATGTTAGTTAATTCTATCATTAAAAGTTAAATAACATTTAGAAATCAAAAATATGCTCATCATAAAAGAGATGTATTCAAGCCATAGTATGCATGAATTGCACTTTTCTCCAAATAGATTCAGACAAAAGAAAAAAAAAAAAAGAGAGAATCATGTCACTGACCCAATTACAATTTAATATTCGGTTCCATTTACCTGTTTGTGGCTAACCGCAGTGCAGTGCAGTTAAAGCATGCGTTTTCTGATAACTTTCCTGAAAGAGATTCAGAGTAAAGGAAATATACAATTAGATATCATGATATCATACAGCACACTTATGAGACCACCATGAAGAAGTATGGACAGACAGAGTAAAGCAATATAGCTCCAGGAACACCATGCATCTGTGCATGATGGAAAAAAACAAAAAAAACAGATGACATGTTATAACATAAGGGGGTCATGAAGAGTGCTACAGGCTACAAGCCAGCACAGGATCTCAGAAAAGGACAGAGAAAATACTTGGTCCCTTGCCAGTGGTGCATAAACAGACAGGGAAAAATATCACCACTGCCAAGAGAAAGGACACACAAATGAAGGTATGTAAGGTCCAAGGTGTGAACTGTATCAGAAACAGAGCGATGGCGGCACTTAGATGCATAACGAGGAATCCAAAATACTTTCAACTTTTCATCAACAAACCTTAATTCAGGGGGTTTCAAACTTTTGATGCCAAGAAGAACCCTTACATTTGATTTTTCAATATTTTCTCCATATTTAAGGACATTTTATAAAGGTAACAAAATTACATAATTGTTTCCAAAATTAAAGAATGGTATTTTCTATTATTATTGTACTAAAGCAAATTATTGTTATTAATTACTTTCTAGAAAATATAAAAAGTAAAAAAACAGTGCATCTACAATATAATCGCCATTGGCTAGTAAATTTTTTTGTTTACTCGCCAGACGGATATACTATTTTACACACACACACACACACACACACACACACACACACACACACACACACACACACACGTCTACTTATCTATCTACATTTCACATCTCAATACTTGCAAACGGAGGTGCTGTGTTTACTTTAGCTCATGATTTATAGGGTCAAAATGTATGCAGTTATCAAGATGGAAATCATCACATCTATTCAACATATATTGCTAAAAAGAACTGGCACCAAAAAAAAAAAAAAAGTTATAGTTATAGTTATTATCTATGAATAAATAAGGGAACCATACATTTTGTATCTAAGAATTTATTAGCCAATGTCTAATGTTAGATATTATTTAGTCGCCCAGAGTAAGATTTAGTCGCATATGCGAGTGATTTACTCGCAATGTAGAGGGTTGATCTAAAAACTAAGTATTATTATCACAAAACTATATGCTGATTTTTTAATCAGTCTTTAGAAAGTAGAAATAAATAGTAATATTGGCAAATTTGGTAAATGTGAAAGGAAAAAAAACATTACATATGTTTATTATTATTTTAAAGGGATAGTTCACCCAAAAATGAAAGATCTGTCATCATTTTCTCACCCTCAAGTTGTTCCAAACCTGTATGAATTTGTTCCTTCTGCTGAACACAAAATAAGACATTTTGAAGAATATGGGTAACCAAACAGTTGTTGGTCCCCACTGACTTCCATAGTATGGAAAAAAATTATAACTATGGAAGTCAATGGGACCAGAAATTGTTTGGTTATCCACAACCTTCAAATATATCTTCTTGTTCAGCAGAAGAAATAAATTAATGGAATAACTTGAGTAAATAATGACAGAATTTTAATTTTGGGTGACCAATCCCTTTAAGAGCACAAGTTAACTTTGACAGCCCTAAAAACACATTTTGTAAAAGTGTTTCTTCTCTCTCAAGTTTTTGCAAACCCCCTGAAAACCCCTGGTTTAATTAATACCTAAATAACACAATAACATTTTCACATCTCAATCTTCAATGGAGTTGTGTTAGGAAGCAATATGCAACTTACACAATCATCTAATGCTGTCATGTCATGGAATGTGCAGCAACAAAATACATTACTTATTGGTCTTGCCATCAAGTTGAAACTGCACCTGCCTACATGCTTAAACAAATGCTTGAATATGACTCATTTAACATTATTTTATCCATCTAGTTAAAGCATTTTGTCATGTCCATTGCATACTAGCACTTAATCCATCTGACTGTGCCATTTATTTATGTGTGTGTGGATCGATTGTGACAAGCTCCATACAGGTTACATCAGATACAGACCTCACACAAAAACGCTGCAACTGTTGCAGTGAAGAGTTTACATAGCTCACATTTTTTACACTGGATGGATGAAACATAAACATTCCTGTTGGATATAACCCCTCTGAAGCATATGAATAATTACATATATTGCTTATGTTAAACTACAGTACGGTAAAACAAGACCACTAATGGCAGCTGTCTGTCAGTTGTTCAAGCATAGTATTTCACCAGTAATGACCTTCACAAGCACTCTCGACGTCTGTGACAAACTCAGATACGCAAGGATGACCGAGCACATTTCAGTGATGTCTAACTCATGGTAAAGTTAACTAACCAGGAAGAACAGGGTAAAGTCAAAATGTCCCAAACCACCAGACATGAAGTGAATCGCCTGTTGAAGTGGGTTACTTAAAATAATACCATATCTTATGCCTGTGCAATTTCTGCGCTGATTTTGGGTTAAGTACATAATTGTTTTTAATACAGTAAAAATGTGTTAAACACAGGGCTGAAAGTGCTATATGTTTGTTGATAGTTAATCACATAATCAAATAAATTTTTAACCAACTGTTCCTTTTTAACTAATAACCCATCGTTTGCCGAAAGCATATACTCGATTCACCTGTGTTCACCTGAGAAACAAAGTGGATAATGATGACCCACCTGCATCATGACTTGAATGTACCAAGATAAGCCATGCAACTTTTATTATACAGACAATTCAGACTGAATATATCTATTCAACAAGTACCAAAACCAGATAAGGTGAATTTTGTCATTTTTAAAACCAATAAACACTTTATCCTATCCCAGTTTAAAAAGCAGAGACAAAATTTTAGTTTCCAAAAGTTTCCAAATCAGGGCCTTTTCTACTGTAGGCATAGGCGAACTTGGCAGTTACTTCGGGTGCCTCCAACTAAAGGGGGCGCCAATGAGCGCTCAACGCCCACTTAAAGGGTCATGAAACCCCCTGTTTCAGCACTGGTTAGTTCTCACTACAGTTTTAAAAAATGCTAAAAAAAGTGGGCGTGGTGTGCAGCGGAGCGGAGGGGGGAGAGGGGAGGGCGACCACACACACAGCTT